CCTCCTCCTCCTCCTCCTCCTCCGCCTCCCCCTCCTCCTCCTCCTCCTCCTACTCCTCCTTCTCCTCCTCCTCCTCCTCCTCCTCCAAACCGTCCGTCGCGATTTTTTCGGGGGGCCCGAGGTGGTCTGGGGACATCGGCTTCCCAGGCGGTGGATGTGACGTCGTTCCAAGTTTTTTGACGGTCCCGAAAGCGAGCAGAGTGGTCGAGAACTGCCAAACACCCCCCGTCGCATTTTTTCATCACCCGAGGGGGTCTGGGGACATCGGCTCCCACGGCGGTGTGCATGGATAACCTTGAGATCCGTCGTTGCGGAAAATTGCAACATCGCAGAAGATCTTTACCAGAACCCTAAAGCCCTCTGTGTGTCGTTTTCCGAGCCGAATCGATCTATATGACCCCGGGGCTCGAAAGAAGGTAACATACCACGTTTGTAGACAAGTTGCGACGCCCAGATCTCAGGGGAGTATTGGATTTGTTCGATACGGGCCCCCAGAAGTTCTGACGCTTTCTTCAGGGCCAGCGTTTCATCCCGAGCCGTTTCTTGACGGCTCCGAGGCCTGGTAAGGGCTCTGAGGGGCCCAAAACGAGGAAACAACCCGTCTCGATGTTTTCACGACGCGCGCATGTCCTTGTCCGAATCCCTAACTCCCCAGACCCTGCGCGTTCTGACGAGGATTTTGCGGCAGGCCCGAAGAGGATGAAGCACATTCGACAGCCTCGATCCTCGACCCTCGTCGCTCCTCGAGCCGTCGCGTTTTCGTTGTTTTTCTTTTTTTCCGATTGTCGAGACGCCAGATGCCTGCGCGGAGCCCTGCCTCGCAGAGGAGCCTTGGCAGCTGCTGGTGGCCTGCCTGCTGCTCAACAAGACTGGCCGCGCCGTCGTGGACCGCATCCTCGGGGGCGGCACAGAGGGGGGTGATGACTATCCAGGGGGAGTGGATATAATGGCGTGCGCCATGATCTTTCACTCGGTTTCATGGCGCCTCGTCTGATTCCATTACGTCTCTGGCCCCCCTTGGGCTGCGCACGCGCCGCCGGCCATGCTTTGCACCCCCCCTCTTGGACACCCCCCTCTCCTCCTCCTCCTTACTCTCTCTCTCCTCCTCCTCCTCCTCCTCCTCCTCCTCCTCCTCCTCCTCCTCCTCCTCCTCCTCCTCCTCCTCCTCCTCCTCCCTCTCCCCCTCCTGGACGCCCCCCCGCTTGGCCGCCCCCGAGCATCCTCGGCCCCTTCTTCCGCCGCTGGCCTTCGGCCGAGCGCCTCGTGGAGGCCGCCGCTGGGGACCTCGAGGACGCGGTGCCCCGGCTTTGCTGCCCGCCGCACGCGCGTGCAGAGGCAGGCCGCACAAGGGCTCTCCAGTGGGCCAGGCGATGACGCGGGGGGAGGAGGAGGAGGAGGAGGAGGAGGAGGAGGAGGAGGCGGAGGAGGAGGAGGAGGAGGAGGAGGAGGAGAGGAGGAGGTGGAGGGGAGGAGAAGGAGGCGGAGGAAAGAGGAGGAGGAGGGGAGGAGGAGGCGGAGGAGGAGGGGGAGGAGGAGGAGGAGGAGGAGAGGTGGGAGGAGGAGGCGGAGGGGGAGGAGTGAGGGGGCGGAGGAGGAGGGGAAGGAGGAGGAGGAGGAGGAGGAGGAGGAGGAGGAGGAGGAGGACCAGTGTCAGCCCAAGATTCATCAACGGTGTTGGGATAAGCCCGCCCTCCAGGCTCTCTCTTCATAGGCCCTTACCATCGGCGCATTTCCATTGAGGGAGCTGCCTCGTTTGAAGACAACATTTTCAAGACCGTGAAGCATGCCAAAACATTGTTCTCGTGAGTCCATCGCCACGGATCAACCTGACAGTTGCGTTTTGACGATCCTGAATCGAGTCAGAACTCCATTCTTGGGACATCAACACTTAATTTTTGGACACGCAGATTCCAAAACACGATTTGTGGTGTTGTGGTAGTGGGAACCGTTGGAGCTCTTGTACGCTCAATCAACGAATGTGCGCGGCGCTTAGGCGATAGTCACATGTTGAAAACGACCCGCCCTCAATATGTAAAGCTCTTGCAATTTTTGAAAACGAAAGTGCGCGTCGCTAAGGCGAGAGCCACATGTTGAAAACGGCCCGCCGTCAATCCGCGAAGCTCTTGCTGGTTTTTTAAACGAATGTGTGCGGCGCTAAGGCGAGAGCTACATTTTGGAAACCACCCGCCTTCAATCTGTGAGACTCCTGCATTTTAAGACGAATGTGCGCGGCGCTAGGGCGAGAACCACATTTTGAAAAGGAACCACCATCAAACCGTGGACATCTTGCAAAGTTTTAAGACGAATGTGCGTGGCGATGAGGCGAGAGCCACATTTTGAAAACGACCCGCCCTCAACCCGTGAAGGTCTTGCACACGTTTAAAGCGAATGTGCGCGGCGCTAAGGCGAGAGCCACATGTTGAAAACCAAAGGCCCTCATTTTTTTTATTTTTTTTTTTTCTTTTTCTGTTTTTTCTTTTTTTGTTTTTTTTTTTTTTTTTTTATGTTGTTCTTTTTTTTATTTCTTTTTTTTTTTTTCTTTATTTTTTGCCATCCGTGAAGCTGTTGCCATTGTTAAGCTTCAGGGTCACAAGGTGGTGAGGAAGTATCAGGCGAGACGCCCTGCCCGCCTAAAACTGTGGCTCGGGGTGCCGACAGGGAAGTTGTCTATAAGGACCAGGAATGGAGGGAAGACGAGGAGGAGGGGACGAGGAGAAGGAGGAAGAGGAGTAGGAGAAGGAGAAGGAGAGGAGGAGAGGAGGAGGAGAGGAGGAGGAGGAGGGGGAGGAGGAGGAGGAGGAGGAGGGGAGGAGGAGGAGGAGGAGGAGGAGGAGGGGAGGAGAGGAGAAGGAGGAGGAGGAGGAGAAAGAGGAGTAGGAGAAGGAGGAGGAAGAGCAGGAGGAGGAGGAGGAGGAGGAGGAGGAGGAGGAGGAGGAGGAGGGGGGGGGGAGGAGGGAGGAGGAGGAGGAGGACCAGTGAGGTTTTTGTCGAGGTGGGGGGCCCAACAATCTGCGCCTGAGGCTGAAAGGAGGCTGGCGGTGTCAGGGTTGGTGGGGGGTCCCGGCGAGGTTTTTGTCGAGTTGGGGACCCAAACGCTTCTCCCCAGAGGCTGAAAGGAGGCTGGCGGTGTCAGGGGTAGTGGGGGAGTTCTGTTTCCTCCAACCAGTACAGAGCGTCGTGGCTCGTAGGAGGCTCCACCGAAGGCCCGAGCGGCAGGGTCCACATGCGTCTCCCTACGCAGTACAGCGTTTCGTAGCCCATTGGGGGCTCCCCAATGGCAGGGTCCACATGCGTCTCCCTGTCCCATCTCGGCACGCCCCTCACACGTTTCGTGCCCCCATGAGGAGCTCCACCGAAAGCGATGACCACAACGCGGTATCCACAACCTCGTATGGTTGGGTCCCTCGCAAGGATACCTGTTTGGAGCGTCGGATCCATGGCTTCACGACGCGAGGAAGCGCTGGCCCCCCTCGGCCTGCAGCGCAAGCGCTCGCTGCTGCTCCGCCGCTTCAGCCTCGCGTACGCCCGCGCCGTGGCGGAGCGCGGCGCGCCGCTGCCCGTCGCGAGCGTCGAGGCGCTGCCCGGGGTCGGCCGCTACGCGTCCGACGCCTATGGCATCCCGCGGCAGCGCCACGGGGGAGGGGCCACCGCGGGGGAGAGTGACTGGAGGAGGAGGGAGGTCGAAGGAGGGGGGAGATAGGAGGGGGAGGGAGGTAGGAGGGGGAGGGAGGCAGAAGGAGGGGTGATGTAGGAGGGGGAGAGGAAGGGAGGAGGGATGAGGAGTAGTAGGAGGTGAGGAGGAGGAGGAGGAGGAGGAGGAGGAGGAGGAGGAGGGGAGAAGGAGAGAGGAGGAGGAGGAGGAGGAGGAGGAGGAGGAGGAGGAGGAGGAGGACGACAACCTCCACCCAACAATACCGCGACCATCAGGAGTACCTTTGCGTTTCGTCCTCCACCTCAACAGCGGACATCGACGAGGAGGAGGCCTGCAAGAGTGGACGGAACACTTCCACCCCCCAGCACGCAAACATATACATCATCTATAGACATCGCCAACGACGCCATCGCAGGGGCCCTCACCAACTGGAGTACGATCGACTTTTGGATCAACCAAATGTGTGGGAGCGGCTGCAATTCTGGTTGGATCACCCTGCGGGACATGAGTTGTTGCAAGAACGCGAGACCGACTAGAAGCCCAACACCAACTTCGGCCACTACGCAGCAGAGAGCGAGTTTGGGGGCTGAAGTACCTTCACGGACCGCGAGAACGACCATATCAACATCGGCAACCAGTTGCTACGTTCCTCATACTTCACGTCGCCAGCGCCACGGGGGTGCCCTCCATCATGGAGCACCTCGACACGGTTCGCGACAGCACGCAAATGCCAAGCAGCTGGCTCCTACCAGAAATACAGCATCTGTTCCAACGGCCCAGCGTACGCATGTATCTTTCGATCACTGCATGGTGGGCCAGATCGCTCGCAGTTGCGCCGGCCTGCGAGGACGTGGAGTGCCAGGGCGAATATTTAGGAAACCCAGCCAGTGCAGATGCAACCGTGGCCACAGAGCACACCCACCATTGCTCGGACGCAGCGGGGGCGGCACGTGGCGCAGCGCCGCAGCCAAGACAGACTCCACTGAATTCAACAAGATATTTGGCAGCCCCCATATCAGATGCTATCCTCTCGAGAAGGACCGCTGCACCGATCACAGACCAATGGGAGATCGAGGACACCTACACACGTCCTGCACGCCAGTGGGTCCATAGTACGATTTCCAACGAAGCGCCGCTGCATGACCCACATGCGCCTCCAGCCACAACATTAAGGACCAGCTACAAGCTCTGCGACGGCGCAGGGGACAACGAGACAAAGTGATGGTTACTTGGGGCTCCGCGACAGCTGAAACCAGTGCGTGGCCGCTCCCGCCTTGGTTTCTTATCGGCTGTTCGGGATTGGACAGCCGTCTGTGCGGCCCACATTATTCGGGCATGTCCCCTGAGAGGTGATACCTCGACTGGAACTTTAAAGAAGTGACAAGTGAATCCGCCACCCGTTCCTGAGCCAAGCCCGCGCCCCTCCTATCTTTCAGGCTGCAAACCGCAGACGCCTGGCTCAAAGTTCTGGGTGCGACTTCGCAGCCGCCGACGTCCGAGCCTCGCAATTCGACTAGACATGGATTTACCCGCAGTGGAGCCATTTGTTGATCAACGACGGGATCGACCCATGCATCGTCGCGGTCCATTACAGGGTCTTCAACCTTCGACCGAAGATCACTTTCTCCGTCAAGGCCGATTTCAGGATCGCCGAGCGCACCGAGGACCTGACCTCAAATAGTGCAGAGAGGGCGCAGCAAGTGCAGCAACATGGGCGACCAGACATTCCGCCGAACGCCCCCATCCCCCCAAAAGCTTCCCAACAGTGAGGCCGACCGGGCCGAGGGTTCTACAGGGGCAAAACATATGGCCAGGAGTCGACTTGCGCGACTGCGGACCGCCGAGAGATCGCCAAGAGGACCCACACTTCAGAAAACCAGCGGCCCGAGCACCAGATCAGTCACAGTTGGGGCTGCTGTCAGACACGCTCACCACGAGGCATGCTTTCGCCGCGCTGGAGGTCGGCCATGTCATCATCCCAACCAGCGCGCCAAGAAGATGAACGAAGACGCTATGCAACCGCCGTGGCACCCTCGCATGGAAGATGAGCATAGCAGGGAAAGCAGATGACGTGATGTGCGCCTTTTTCGCCAGGAACCGCGCGGACATCGACGTCGACGCCGTGGGCCGCCGCCGCGCGGCACGACCGATCCACGCGCCTGGTAGCAGGGGGGAAGTCTGGGTCAGAATCAGGGGCGGCGGCAGCCGCGACGAAACGCGCCGCCGAGCCACGATCGCCGCTCAACCAGGGGGGGCGGGCCAGTGAACTTGCGGAGGCGAACGCTATCTGCCTCGTCCCGCCTCGGAGGGGCCCGCGCGGGACAGAGATGTTCAATGTCGACCAGCTCCACGAGGTCCCGTCGGCGCAGGCACTCAATCGAGACGCGAAACGCAGGGCCACCTTCCGTGGGAGTCGCTGCGCGCCCCGCCTGCCCTACGCGACCGACCAGGGCAGCAACGCGCGGGAAACGAGCGAAGCCCCGCCCTGCCCTTCTCTACCCGAGGGGCATTCGGACAACTTTGGGCGCCGGTGCGGCGTGTCCTCGCAGTGGCAAGCCGGTTTCTGACGACGACAACTTGCACGTCAGACTCGCGCGGGCCTCCGCGCCGCAGATGCCGACCCGCGCGGGGGCTTGGTGCCGTAGATCGAGGTCAATGGCGAAAAGCATCGCCCCCTCAAGGACTACAGCGCGGAGCGCAGGGCCCCGATCAACCACTTCAACTATGTGGCCAAGAGGTGCGAGTTTCAGCTTGGGCCAACGTCCAACGGCAACCCAGGGTGGCCTACCACTGCAGGAATCAGCCGGCGCCCGCCAGCCGACGTCGCAGACGAGGACGCCATCGAATGCCGATTCGCAACCATGGGCATGACGCCACCTTGAGTGGCAGACGTGATCACTCAGCCACCGCCCTCCGAACCTGCGAGATCGGAGGAGCCAACGTAGATGCCGGCCCACGGCGGCATGACGACACTCGTATCAGACACCCGCGACCTCACGTCACATATTTCGCCTGAGTTACGTGCAGAAGGGAGGAAGATGAGAACCAAGATGGGGATCGGCTTCTATAAGGCGCCAACGACGACTGCGAGGCGCGGATTGAGTTGGCGAGCTTCTGGGAGCGCGTGCCAACGAGCGAGGTGATCCCATGCGGCCGCAGCACGCAATTTGCACGTGTAGACCGACCCAGACCATAGCCAGCTACTACAAAGCACCCGAAGACGGCCAATCGAGTCATCATTGACCATTCGACCAACCAGGCAGGCGCCCGCAGCGAGCCGCCGCCCCCGAACTGACGACCTCCGCCGTTCTATCCACCTAGCTACGCGACCTGGAACGCGCGCACTCGCTGGCGCCCGCCCCCCACAAATCCGCCCCTCCCCCCCCCCCCCATGGCTTACCTCGGGCGCCCCGCCATCGACTCTAGGGTCGCGCGCCCGACCCCCCTGCCGAAGCCGCAGGTCGCGCGCCCTGTCGATGGCGCGCCTGCCAGGAGGCGCGCCCAGGTATATTGCTGCAACCTGGGCACAGTGGAATCCTCGTGGGGCGGCCCAGGTATAGCGCTACTACGCCCAGGGCGGTTGAGAGCTCCATCCTCTGACAACGTGGACTGCTTATATGACGCCGACGAACGCCTCGCGACGTGCCCGCTGATGGCGCCGCGCGACCAGGGGCCGCCGCCGCCGCCGCCAGCCCCTCCGCGGGCGCGCGCCCCCCCCCCCCCCACCGCAGGCAAGATCGCACTTGATGATGCCGTCGCGAGGTACTGCGCCGACGGCGACTTCAGGGATCAGCTATACATGCGCAAGGAAATCATAGCTTTCCTGATCGATTGTCAAATGACCTGGCTCGCGCGGCCCGACGGCCCCAGTGGCCACCTTGCGCGCCTGACACTGTGCAACCAGGCTGACGAGGCGGTGGCCGAGGAGGGGGCCCGGAGGGCCGCGGAGATCCAGGCGGCTTCATCGCTGCAAACGACCCACTTCAAAACGGCAATCACGCCGCAGCATCAACGGCGACGGCAACCCCGGCCGCGACGGCATCCACGGCCAGCGAAACGACGTCTATAGCCGCGCATGTGTCACGCTACAAGGCGCCACCAATCATCGGCGGATCAAGCGAGCGGCGTGCCGAAACAGAAGGGTGCCAGGGCGTTCTGTCCATGCCCCCACGTGACACATCGCCGCTGGGCATCAGCGGCAGCGGCGGTCACTCTGCGACCGCTCACCACATGGCGCCCAATCAAAGTAACTGCATGTGGGGGGCCCCGCATGGACACCCTACTCGAGCAAGCGGGGCCGTCGATCGAGCTGCCGCCAGACGGAGCGACTTCGGGATCTGACCTCAGCGACGTTCGCCAAGACACGATCGCATGGTAGGCCGCAATATCTGCAGTATCCACTACGACCGAAACGCTCTGCTCGTGAAGACCCGCGTACACAATATGCTTCGACAGTACTTCAACGGCATGAATGAAGCCGGGAACAACTGCGACATCGTTCAGGACGATCACCGCGACGTGCACTTTGAGCACGACAGGACGACGAAGCATCGTTCGCGATGATACACTAGCAGAACGTACTCGCCCACTTCATCAACCACCAGCTCGCCATGATGCTGACGTATCAAAGCGGCGACGATTGCGACGACGTGCCCACGCCAGTCGTAGTGGCCAACCAACGCCGCAGCATGAACATGCACATCGAATTGGACATGCGCTACAATCCGACTTCTCAGTCGATGCCTTCCGGCTTCGCGCGTTTTCAGAGAGACACTACCGCTGTTGCCATCAACAGGATCAGCGAGTCGATCAACGCTCAGGATTGCGATCTGCGCCCCGCTAGCTCTGAGCACGCGGCCCAACCGCCTGGCGCAGCAGGCCAACCGCCGCGCGCCGCCAACAGTATGCAGCCCAACGCAAGCATGAGTTCTAACC